ACGCGGGTCCCGAAAGGGGCTTAGGGGCTCCAGCGGGCCCAGCGGGACCTGACCTCATGGCCTTGGCCTCTTGGCCAGCCAGCCTCTGACGGGAGGCGGAGTGCTGAGAAAGACCCGTTCTTAATTCAATTAATGCCCCAAAGAGGAGTCAAACACAGGGTGAGAGAGAGAAAGAGACAGAGAGATTGAAGAACAGAACAGGCACATTCTGGTATGGAACCCGGTAAGCCCAGCCTGCCCAGGAGACTGAGTTGTCCTTCCAAGAAGGCAGATGAGTTGGCAGCCAGGGCCATGCCAAGCACACACATCTGGGCAGTGTCATTGCCCCAGTTTATTCACCCCCCCAAGCACCCCAGCTTTCCCTCCCTGCATTAGAGGGCATCTCCCCCAGAAGCTCATCACCCTTTGGCCTGTGAGTCCAATTCTGGTCTCCGCCTTATTTTGGAAGTTGGGATTCCCAGAAGGCAGTTTCCGAACCCTGATCCTTAGGATGGAGAAAGTTTCAGAGAGCACAGGAGCCATGCTGAGGCTGCTGCTACAACCCCCACCTTTTCTTTTTTTTTTTTGCCAGTTCTCACCCAGAGAAACTTTATGGAGATTTGTCTAAGATGCAGGGCAGACTAATGGAGGCGGATTCAGGACTTGGAGTCAGACAGGGGCTCAAGATTTCTTCAAAGTCCAGGTGGCCTTTATTCAACTCAGGGCTAGTAGCTGTGACCTCCTCAGAGCCTCTGCCCCAAAGGAAAGGAAAATAACAATGATTTGGGCTGGGAGCAGGGGACTCTTGTTTTCACAGGGGAAACCTCCAAGTCCTCAAAAAGAAGGCTTTCTTCTTTGAGCACCAAGGAGCAGGTCAGGTGCCAGCCAGTCTGTTGTCACATGGAGGCGGGGGCCATAGGGAGCTGGAGATAAAGACTGAGGTTGGCCAGGCCTGGCCTAGACTGTCTCTTTCATCCTGCCTTCCTTGAGAAGTAGACTGTAGCATCTAAAGCCTTCCCTCAGTCTAAATGCCTCCCTCAATCAGCAGCTACTACTTAGGAGAAGGCAAATTGGGTAAAAGATTCTAGGGAAGGGAAAAGAGCAAATGTCCAAGAAAGAACAAAATCTCTGCTAGGCAATCCTGGAACACACAGGCTTTATTGGACTTTCCCACGTGAAGGAGAGAAAAAGAAGCAAACAACCTTGCCAAGTCTCTTGGGGATGTCAGGACTTTCTTGCTGCTGACCATCAGTTTCAGTGGTTTATTGGGCTGTGCCCCTGGATGACAAATTCAGAACTGGAGGTTCTGGTGAGGTACACCCGGCCAGTTCAGGGCTGGAATGAAGTTAAATGGGGGATAGCAGAGACAGTCCCAGTTTTCTCTCCTTTTCCCTCAGGGTGTATTGACAATAGCTTAGACGTAGGAACATCTCTGTTTCCTGGTCACTTAACAAACGCTGAACTTGGAATGGATACAGGCTGGAAAATCAAGGAGAAGCCGCCTTCCTGTTTGAACCCGGCTCCAGCCGTCGGTTAGGCAGCTCAGGCGGTGGGCTGAGTGGACTGGTGCGCGCGCGCTTGGAGATCCCGAAGCTCAAGGCTAGTGGCAAGGAGGGCGTCCTTTCGCCGCCTTCGTCCCTTCGCCCCACCCTACCCCAACACACACACACCAAGTGCTGGCCCCTTTTCGCGCCCTCCTCCTCACCACCTCCTTCTATTCCTGGAGCTTCTCTGGGTTTGTATGTGAGAGCGCAAGCGGGAGAGCGAGCGAGAGAAAGAGACTTGCAGGGGACGTTTGGGGCCGCATGTCCGTGCGCATTTTCTTCTCCAGCTCATCTCGCCATCTAGCCAAGGAACTTGAGTGTTGGGGAGGGGGACGATGGAGGACAGAGCATGTCTAGAGTCTAGTAAGTGTGGGGAAGGTTCAGGAATCGGGAAAGGGGTGGTCCATTGGACATCAGGATTCGCAAAAATCTGAGGCGCTCAGGAGTACCCACCCACCCATCCACACATTCAAACACCAGGAACCCAGGAGCCCGCGCCGGACGCGACTACAGACACGGTGGCCCAAAAGTAATCAATATCCTTGGAAAGGAGCTGAAATCGTGTTCAAAACCAAAGGGGAACGCGTCGGGTACCCAGAAGAGCAATTCAGAGGCAACTGGGGGCCGGTCAGGGAAGCAACGTAAAGGGGTCCTTTGCTCTCAGCCTCAAGCCTCCTAGATCTCGTCCATATCCAGACATCAGAGAAGGAGGTTTCTAACGGGTCCAGAGGGAAAGAAATCCAGTTAACCTGTTCCGGGAGCAGGATCCGGCTTGGCTCTGGCCGAGTGCCTTTTCTCTCCAGTTGCTTTTGCCAGGCTTTGTCCCACGTCAGAAGCAGAACAGACTCCTTTGATTTGGGACTGGGATGCGAGTCTTGCTCTTGCTCTCCACACTATCCAAAAGAAGTAGAGGAGATGATGGGTCACTTTTTTCTCCCAAGAATAGAGGTGATTCAGGTCTCTAAGACCCTAGTAGACCACCCACCACCAACAGGGGCAAATCCCGGGGACCAAGAGCCCAGTCTGTAATTTCACTCTAGAGAGGCGATCTTGAGAGAATTCCATAGAAGGTGGTTAACACTTCGAAGGAATTCTTGTAAAATTCTCCGAAAATTGTGAGAGAATTCTGCACTGAATTCATGCAGGGTTTAGGGAAGGACCTCATGCTGAGCTGCCCTTCCTGGGCCAGACAATGACAGTGGTCAGCACTTGGGCGTGGACAGCTCCTGGTGCAGCGCTCTGTCCAGCCGCAGATTCACCTCGGTAGGGGTGGGAGGAGGCACATCTCTCCTGGGAGACGGAGAGGGTTTGGGAATGGACTTTTACAGCAGCGGAGGATCTCAAGGTCAGACAGTATATCTTTTGCATTTAGGATTTCCTTCCCCAGTTTCTATTCCATTGCGAACTGTCATTTTGGAGTCTTGGTATGTTTTACTTCAAGCCCCTACCCCAACACTACAATTTCCATTTCAGCCCTTAAAACTAGCGACAGAGGTTTTGGAAAAAATCATTTAAGTAAGCAGTGTCAAAAACAGCCAGGTCAGGAGACTCCTAGGTGTATTTAGGCACAGGATGGGGGTCTTTAGAACTGACACCCCTTTCCAAATATTCCAGGGCTCAGGTGGAAATTGGGGGGCTGAGGAAACTAGAGGCTTCAGGAAAGGGAAGAGGGAGTTCTGTGAGGGGAGTCAGATTAGAGATTGGCTCAGAGAAAAAGAAGTTAGGGTGTCTTATTTGAGATGAGAAGTGTCTTGGGCTCCTTCCTCCTCTTCTCCAGGTTGAGGGGTTCCCTCTTTCTGGAGCTGCACTAGACAGAGACCATCCAGGTGTTGACTAGGGGAGTTCCCATTGTCCTAGGAAGCTAATTGTTGGGTTTGGGTCAGCTCTACAGGGTAGGTGCCTTGACTCAGTCCCCTTTACAGAGTTCTGTGTGTGTGTGTGTGTGGGGGGGTGTTCTTCAACCTCAACACCTTAAAAATCCCAGCATTCCAGAGTCTAAAAGTGGTTCCCCTGAGCCACTGATTCACAAATTTAAGATGGAAAAGGCTTTTTCCTCTTTAATTTTTCATCCTCATGACTTTTTTTTTTTTAAACTTATCTTGTACGAATGATTGTCTTTTTATCTCTACACACTTGCTTTTTACAGCAATGGGCCGAGGGTTGTATAATGACCAGCTGTTCTCAATTTGATAATTTTTCAGTAATGATAAAAGATTTTGTTTTCAAAGGAGGTGTGTTTGGGGTCGGAAAAGGTGTTAGGAAAGCAGTGCATTACTCTGTGCTGGGAGGCTTGGGGTTGGTGTGTAACGGTACCTGTCTCAACTGTTAAGGACAGCAAATGTAGCTGTTTCTGGGCCCAGTGAATAGGCTTGACGAGGTTGTTGGGGTGGGAATCCCACCCAGAAGTGTTCAGTTTCCTTCCTAAGTCACTGGACACTTTGCCTCCATCACCCGGGCCCCAGTTCATCGCCCCCCCACCAATGAAATGAGGCCACCGTGAGAAACAGGTCCGGCTTTGCATCTCATTTACATAAATATTTATTAATTGTCATTAAACTGAACAAAAACACGCAATGCACTTCGGGTGTCCGACGGGAGTTTCAGCTTCGCTACAAGAGGAAGGTAAAATTGCGCGTGAGTGTGGTGTGTGAGTGTGCGGGTGTGTATGTGTGAGTGTATCGCCTGTGGGTTTGCATTTTTGTGTCCGTTCCCCTGTCTCCGGTGGAGAGAGGTTCTTCTTTTGCCCCTTTTTGGGGAAACTTCCAGAAGGAACTCTCAGTTCTCTCCTACCGGCCGGGCCAGAACCTGGAGGACGCTTGGGACAAGAACTCCCAGGCCAGCTACCGGAGACCGCCCGGCGCTGGGCGCCCTCCCAGGCACATTCCTGGCCGGGCGGGCTGCTCAGGTCTCCGCTCCCCGCTTTTCCTGGGACGGGATGAAGGTGCCTGCCCCCGAGTCCCGCGCCTGGCCTGTATATGTGCGTGCTGTTTGGTGTGGTGCGTGTGTATGTGTGTCTCTCATGCAAACCCTCCCTCCCCAAACCGACCCCCCAACAGTTTGCCATTCCTTACAAATTTGGAAACAGGTTTTTTAAAAAACAGCATGACGCACAACGGGGACGGGGCAGGGGAGGGCAGTAGCACTGGGGCCCCAAATCTCCGAGTCATTGATTGTAAGAACCTGGGGAAGGGGAGGGGGCGGCGCCGGCCCCCACTTCACCAAAGTGCACAGATCCGCGCGGGGGCGGCGCGACCCGCGGGGCCAGCAGGGCATCCCGGGGCCAGGCCGTGCCGCTAGGTTCGATCAGAACCTCCTTGCATAGATATTTGTGTCTTTTTTTATTGGTAGTAGTATTTATTTATTTATTTATTTAGCCTTTTATTGCTTCTAAAAGTTCTTACTGCGTTTTCTCTCCGTTCCGGACTCTGCGTTCGGCCTCCGTCGCCTGTTTGCTTTTTTTTTTTTTTTTTTTTTTAAATGTTTGTTAGTTTAAAAAAGGGGAAAGGGGTGAACGGATTCTAGTTACAAATTGTCTTGGCCTCTCTCCACTCAATCCACATCCCCTCCCGCCAAAATTAAAACCGTAAAATGCCGAGACTCGGGATTGGAGGTGGAGGCGTTCCAGGCCCGCACTGGGGTGGCCTTACTTCTACCCTCTTCAAAAAAGAGGGGGGCCCAGTTCCTTCTGCCTCAGCAGCTCGGTGTCTGTTTTTAAAATAATAATAATGAAAGGGGGGGAAATCGCATCCCACAGCTCAGCTGCCCCCTTACCCAACGCCTTAGGGCCTGCAAGGGAGAGGGGGAGAGGAACCTAAGCGAAGGGATTGGAAATGGGCGGGCGGAGGGTCTCCAGGGAGCGCCGGGAGCGGGTTCCCTGGAGAAACACTTCCTGGGAGAGAGGAGGAGGGAACCCCTTGGGGAGAGCGAAGGCTTGTCCCTTGGGGTAACCGAGGCCCCAGGGACGGGCCACCCACAGGTAAGAAGACCGCGCTGCTCTGGAGAACTGCAGGACTGGTGGTCCACGCCCCGCGCCCGACGCCGGGGTAGGTGGGGTTTCCCTGCGCCTGGGGCTCAGTGGCAGGGGAGTGGGCAAAGGCGAAAGAAAAAAAGAAGAGGGCCGGCGAGGTCTCAGTTATGGAAAAACGCATTGAGCTCCTCGTACATGGGGCCCCGGTCATGGTGAAGGTGCATATCGTAAGACAAGAGATTCTCGGAATGGACGGCCCCGCGCACAGCCGACGAGCCGAAGACCAGCCCGTGGCCCGTGGGCCGCGTGCCGGGCAGCGCCGAGTAGTGCATAGAGTAGTGGTAGCTCTTTTCGTGGTCGGGCGACGAGTCCTGCTTGAGCGAGAAGTTGCCATTGAGACAGAGCGGCGGACTGAGCGGGCCCTCGTACTCGGAGCTGTTGTAGTCCGGGCTCGCGCCGCCGCCTCCCGCTGCTGCGTACAGGGTCTCGTAGGCGGCGCAGTAGCCGTGGGTCCGCAGGGCGTGTGCCGCGCCGCCGCCCAGGCCACCAGCCGCCTGGCACTGGGCGCTCGCCAGGCGCGAGCACGGGTACGGGTAGGGGTGCATGGCGAACGGGCCGCCCGAGCCGTGGAAGCGGCCCGCGCCGTCAGCGCCCTGCTCCGTGAGGAAGTTGCGCGAGTTGAGCTGCAGGCAGCCGGCCACCAGGTTGGTGGTGGGCTGCGACAGACCCTTGCACAGCGTCTGCACGTAAGACACCAGGTCGGGCCGCTTGCCGGAGCGCAGGATCTCTGAGAGCGCCCAGATGTAGTTTTTGGCTAGGCGCAACGTCTCAATCTTGGACAGCTTCTGGGTCTTGGAGTAGCACGGCACCACCTTGCGCAGGTTGTCCAGCGCCGCGTTCAGGTCGTGCATGCGGTTGCGCTCCCGCGCGTTCGCCTTCTGCCGCCGCAGCTTGGAGCGCTCCAGTCGCGCCTTGGTCATCTTTCGCTTCTTGGGCCCACGCTTCTTGGGTCGTTCGCCCTCTGCCTCGTCTAACCCTTCCTCCTCTTCCTCTTCCTCCTCCTCCTCACCCCCCAGCTCGCCTTCCTCCTTGACCTCTGCTAGCGCTGCCTCAGGCACCTCGTCTCCTCGAAGGGGGACCGGCTTGGAAGCCCGAGCGGGCCCCGGAGCCCCCGGCCCCGGTGCAGACGGAGGCGGCGCGTCGCCCTTGTCACTCCTCGGCTCGTCGTCGTCGCCGTCACCCCAGCTGGCAAACTTGGGCACGTCCGAGAGGAGGCCGGGCTCGCTGAACAGGCGGGTCAGCATGGTGCCTGAGGGCGCCCAAGCGGGCGGGAAGGAGGAGACAGCACAGAGTCAGGGCAGCGCTGGGGTCTCGACGGCCCCCCAAACCGCCTCCACTCCCCCCAGGGTGTGGGTTCCTAGACGCCCACCTCCTCCGCCTGCCCCGCCCAGAGCCGACCCAGCCCTCCCTGCCTGCCCGCAGCCGGGGGATCCCAGTCCGGGCCCTCTCCTTCAGGCTGGGCCCTGGCTCCGCCCTCGCTTGACTGGAGGGTAGCTCCCGGCGTCAGGTTCGGTTTAAGGTCGGGGCAGGGACGGGGTAGGGGTCTAAGGGGGCCAACTAGCTTCGCCAGGGAAGGCGGCGCCGCTCGCTCGGCAAGCATAACTCTCCTGGATGTGGAGGGAGGCCCGGCGGCCGCGGGTAGGGACAGTTGCCGGGCTCGGCGGGCAGTCTCGCGGCCGGGCCCCTCGGCCTGACTCCCTACCCCTCCCAAGGAGCTCACCCCCACGCTCTCTAATCCAATTTGCAACTTGGCCGCGCGCCGCCCCCGACTCGGCTCCCACCCCCGCAGCCCCAGCTCCAGGGGCAGGAAGCTTGGCTCCTGGAGCGGGTTTTGCACCGCGAGGACTGAGGACCCGGCATGGCATGGAGGCTAAGAGAAGGGAGCCCCGTTCGTCTCCCCTGCGGTCAGGGACCCCTTTCCCTCTTCCAAACTGCCTCCCTCCCACTCGGCTCTTAAGATCTCGTTGTATTTCGGGATTTAGGGGAAGGAAATCCAAATTTGTTTGTTTGATCCTCTTTTTTTGGTTGTGAGGTTCCTCCGGGACGAGCATAGGAGGGGGTCCCAATCCCATGCTTTTCGCCCCCACCATCATCTTGCCTTTCTCCCAAGACCATCTCAGGCACAGACACCTCCCTCGCAGCCCCCTAAGCTGCAGCCCCCGGGGGAGAGGAAACCAGGGGCACCTCGGAAGCCCACCCATGACGGGGCATCGTTCTGGGAAGAGGGGATTTGGGGTCGATCGAAGCAGCCTCCCCCACCCCACAACCCGCCCCAACCGCCAAATCCGATCTAGCTCCTTTTCGGACAACTCACCTCGGAAAGGAGTCAAGGGGAAAGGGGAGGGGAGGGGGGAGGGGGCAAGAGAGAGAGGGGGGAGAAGAAGAATCTTCTGGCTTATTTCATTGTTCCCCCATCTTCAGGGAGCGGGGGCAGCGGCTCCTTAAGGCGGCGGGCGCCGGCGTCTTCAGAGCGCCATGCGAACCGCGGAGCGAGTGTGGCATCTCTACCAGGCGGGGTACCAGCCTCTATGCCAGGCCATATGGGCTTGGCACGTCACGGGCAGCAGCTATCACATGAGAGACGGTGATTGGCATGCGTCTGCATTGGGGGAGAGCCGGCTCCCCCGGGACCCGTCGCCATCTGTCACTCTCTACTCCAAAAAAAAACATTTGTTGAAAGTAAAGCTCAGAATCTTGTCTGTAAACATTCATTAAAAAAAAAAAAAAAAAAAAAAATTAAATAAATAAAGGAAATAAATAAATATCTCTACCGTCCTCCTCTCCCCGCCCAACGCAAGGAAAGCAGGGATTGAGAGGAAGGTTGGAGGAGTTGCCCCAAATACAGAGCCCCCACCTGGGAACAATGGAGTGGCAAGGCAGGAATTTGGAGGCTTGTAGTGGCCCCCAAGTTTATGCCCCCTCCAGGGACCCGCTCTGTCCATTTTCTTTCTTGAAGGCTCCCAAGGTAGGTCAGGGATCAGATCCTGGGGTGCAGAAAATGGCCCTATGTGTTTACCCATCCCCCCAGGAGAATCCCCTTGGCCACAAAGGGACAGCTGAGACCCCCTCCCAGGGTGGATTTGGGGGTGTCCCTGGCTCAGGCCCCATAGGTAGATGTTGGCACCATGCCATCCCTCATCCCTGTCTACCCCTCCCCCACACACCCTCTCTCACACACACACACAACATATGTGGCTGAACGAAATTCAAACCAAGGGAAAAACAGAGAAAGGAAAAGGTTTGCCTGAGATGTCTGTGCCTCTGCGGAGACATGTGTGTATATCCGTGGAGTACGCCTGGTGGGAAAATCTTTCCTTGGGTGTTTGGGGACATATGTGTGCTGGGGTGGGTGAGGTGGGGTGGGGAAGAACCCCCAGGGATAAGCCTATAAAAGTACCTTCTGGGGTAGGGAGAGGGTCTCAGTCAGAATTCCTAGAGAAAGCTCTCAATGATCTGTCCTCAAGACCCTCTCCCCCCACCTGTTAGGTGACCATGCCCCCACATAGCTCTCTCTCCTGACCTTTGGACTTGCTTGTTTGGGGCAGGAGAGGAGGGAGGAACCTAAAGTTCCTGGCCAAGATTTAAGTATTTAAGAATTTCCCCCCATACTGAAAATCCTGAAACCAAACCCAGAAACTCTAAATGACCAAGGGAAGATGTATTAGACAGATGTCTCCATAAGGGAAGTGGAAAACTGCTGTTTTAGCTCACAGTTCACCTTTCCACCCTCTCAGCAGGCCAGATACAGACGCAAATACAGTGGGTTGAGGGAGGGAGCTTTAGACACATATACATACATACACCTGTTCTTTAACCCGTGGTATAGAAAATGGCTACACACTCCTACTCAGAGACACATGTATGAGCAGGTTATCACAGCCAGGTATAGGAAGACCCTTGTCCAAACCCCAATTCAGGGATTCAACATTTTCTGTCTTGCCCTCACTTCAGCTTATATAATGGACAGCCATGTACATACATCTTCAATTATACTTTAAATGCACATATTTCAAGTGTCAAAATGTCAGCAACTGGGGTGGAGCAAAGACAGGCTTTTACCTCTCGATATGGGTAGTAGAGTTCTTCCCCTCAAAGGGTCTCAGAGGGGGCGATGCAGGGTTGCTTGGTAAAGACACTGATTTGATGGTAGCTAAGCAGTCCTGGTGTGGCACTGTGGGTTAATGCACCAGACTGCAAAGCCATTTGAACTGCAAGGTCAGCAGTTCAAGCTTACCAGCTGCTCCTAGGAAACCCTACATAGGGTCGCTATGGGTCAAAATAGGAATCTACTTGCCGGGGCACTTAACAATAACATATACATTCTGATATGGTGCTGTGGGTTATTGCGCTAGACTGCAAAGGTCGGTTTGAATAACAAGGTCGGTGGTTCAAGAAATCCTGTATAGGATTTCTGAGGAACAGAACTCCTGTGAAGGGTTTCTGAGGAGCAGAACTCAGGAACCCTATACACGGTTGCTGTGGGTCAGAACCGACTCAATGGCACTTAACAACAACACATAAAACTAGGCTCTAAATAGAAGTACAGTAATAGCTAAGAAGGCCTTGGAAGAGGTGGGGCTGCCACTGTCTGGGGATCTCAGAGCACTTGACCAGAAACTGAAAGAAGCCACAATCTGAGCTCTTGCTTTCCCAGAGGCGCATTGGGTGGAACTGACTTTCCCAGAAATACACTAGTGGAGAGCAGCGTTGGGATTAGAACCCAGGTACTGGACTCCCGGCCCAGTGCTTCTGCTACAACCCTACACTGGCTCAATAGTTTCCAAGGATGAGAAAGCAGCAATGAGTTTTCCTCCAGTCATGGATCCTGGGCCTGGGAAGTTAGAATCCCATTTATGGCAGATAGCATGACAGAGAGAGGTCAGAAGATGGGCCTCAGGCGGGGCAAGATCTCAGGAGTACTGGTCAGGTCCTCCTACAAAGGCTGGGCATAGGCTCAAAGGCTTTACTATCCCTCCAGCTCCAGGGTGGGTTGTCAATCCTAACATGTGGACCTTCTCCTCCACTCCCCTGGTCCTGTGGTATTTTGGTTACATGCATTCGCTCTGAGGTTCTGATTCTTGGTCAGTTCTACTTCCCAGTTTTTAAAAAAATGATGAATGCCGTAAATGAGTTGTTGTCTTGATTTCTTTATCGGTAAAATGGAAGAATTATACAGTACCCTTCTAAGGCTGTTGCTGGTGCTAAATGAGATAGTGAATTAATGAGCCTAGTACAGGCCCAGCAATATAGTGAGCCTTCAATAAATTCTGGCTCTTATTTCTATTAAGGAGTCCTAATGTGGCACTGGAGTCCTGGTGTGGTGCTGTGGGTTAATGCACTGAACTGCAAAGTCAGTTTGATCTGAAAGGATAGTGTTCAAGCTCAACAGCTGCTCCTTGGAAATCCTATACGGGGTCACTATGGGTCAGACCCGGACTCAACTCCACGGCACTTAACAACAACAACAAATATGGGGCTAGAGTCCTGGTGTGGCTCCATATGATAAGCACTTGATCAAGGTTGGTTTGAACCACAAGGTCAGCAGTTCAAACTCACCCAGCTGCTCCTCAGAAACCTTATTATACAGGGGTGCTATGAGTCGGAGCCGACTCAATGGCACTTAACAACAATGTGACGCTATGGGATAAGCACTGGACTGCTAACCACAAGGTTAGTGGTTCAAACCCTTTACAAGATTGCTATGAGTCAGAACCAACTCAAGGACACTTAAAAACAACATTTTTGAAAAACATTTTTATTAAGATACTTTGTAAGCTGTAATGTGCTTTACAATATTAAGTTCTTATACCTCCCCCTCCCCTAATTCAGGATGCTTTGTTGATATAGAAACTGAGTTCTTGTCAAATTAATGGGTAAGTAAAAGAAACTCTGGTATTATAGTGGGTTACAAGTTGGGCTGCTATCTGCAAGGTTAGTAGTTCGAATCTACCAGCTGCTCCACAGGAGAAAGATGAGACTTTCTGCTCCCATAAAGATTTACAGCCTATACAGGGTCACTATGAGTTGGAACCAACTCCACAGCCCATAAACAATGAATTATTGAATACTTCCTTGGGTGAGAAAAGGTATCATATAAACCCTGTCCTTTCTCAGAGAACACTGAGGGATGAGTTGCACTAACCAGGGGTCTCACAGATCCCCACCAACTCTGCTTTCTTCTCCAAACAAGAGGCAGAACTTTTCCTAGCATGTTCTTAAATGCTGTAGAGTCGGTTTTGACCCATAGCGATCGTTGTAAAGGGTTCTCAAAGAGTGTTTCTTAGCATAGGAGACAACTAAGAAGTCCTTCCATCCTGACTTTGGTCAGAAATGACCTTAGCTCTCTGGGTCTGAGAACTGAGGACTCTCCCCAGTCCCCACGAAGTCACTCAGGAGGGAGGCTTGAGGTGGGAGGTGGCATACCAAAAGATAACAAGAACTGCATTTCTCTGGGTCTGTTTCTTTCCTGCTCCTGTATTTTCTTCCTTCAGAAAAATGGAACAAGTTTTTCTCACTCGACACATTTCAACTTTTTTTTTTTTTTTTTAGAAGATACAATAAAAACCGGGGGAAAATTGGAACAGAGTGAGGTGTAGGATGGGCCTGCTTTGGAAAGGGCTGAAGGAGGAATGGCACATACATGTCCACATGTACATTAACAAGCATGAACATGCAGAGGTATACGCGCTCCTCTCTGTACCCTCAGAGATGCAGAAATGCAGTGACAGAGAGACAGAAAGAGCCAGAAATGGAAGGAAGGAGACGGAAGGAGAAGGACACCCAGAGATGCCATCTGTTCCTCCCCCTGGCATTGGGGGAAGGGAGTTGGTGAGGGGCCTGGTCTCCTCTGGGTCTCTGAGAAGGGAAGAGAATGGTGGACACCTCATTCAGGCCTGGAAGACCCCCTTTCTGCTGCCCAACCCCACTGAGGGAGCTGGCAGCTGGGGGCCTGAGGTTCCCATGGAGACATACCCCCATCCCATGGGAGGCCACAGTCTGGGCACCTAAAATGGCTGCCTCAGAGGGGTGGCGGCCATTTTGTGCCGGCTCAGGTCCTGGTTGGGGGGGCGGGGCCCCCGAGGGTGAGGGGACCTGAATGTGGAAGAGCACAGAGGGAGGAGATGGGTCATTCCTGAGCAGTCTAGGAGATTCTTGCTCAGGGGACAGGGTGAATGTTCTGTAAAACTGCTCCCATTATACCCTCTCCCCATCAAGATACATATACACACACATAAATCTTGAAATGCTTCACTAAATTCTGATACCCAGGACATTTAGCCAGTGATTCCCCCCCTAAATAAGACTGGGGGTGTGAGGGTGCCGGGGCAGGAGACTTGATTTCCCCCTCAGACAGTCAAACTGTGGGGAGCAGATGGATTAGAACCCAAGTGGCCATCCCCTGGTCGAACCATCTCTGGGTCTCCTTGAACTGAGAGGAGCAGACAGGTGAAGAACCCGGCTGAGAGCATGGAGGAGGGGGGGGTGGTCTGTTCTTCTATCCCTCAT